AAGATACAGTGGCCACGGCGCCGTTCCCCCAGCACAGCTGCTGCCAGCCGTGCTTGTGCTGTGGGGTGACGGCCGCCTTTGAGAGCTGAGCGGGAGGAGGGGGCTGCCAGCCATGCATGGGCAGCAGGGCTCCTGGGGTGCAGTCTGGGACCATTTTTGGGGACCCCACGCCATGCCCCAGACCCACATATGGACAGTAACTGTTCTGGCAGCCTGGGAAGGGCTTCAGCTTGCTCAGGGCTTGCTGTCCATCCTGCTGGGATTTGGGGTGCAACAGGGGGATGCGGATGCCCCCAGGCTTTCATCACGCCCACCTGCCCCTCTGACAACTCAGAAACCTGGTCCAGCCATCACAGATCTCCCCTGGTCCCCAGCCCAGGGCTTGCTCAAGTCCAGCTTCTGCATGCACATGGCTTTGCAGCAGGGACGCATCCACGGAGCATCTCCCAGACAGGGGACACAGGAACCTGGCACAACTCAGTGACGCAGCGATGCTCCGGGGAGTGTGTCCCAGCACCCCAAAAGCTTTGTGCCTATTAAACAATGCTCTTGTTGGCCCTGCTGGGCTGCATGTCTTGGTCATGTTTGTTGGTAAAGCCTCGGGTGAGCTCGGGACAAACCCTGCAGTGGGGGTGTGACCGGGAGAAGTGACCTGCCCTGCCGGATTGCTGTCCTTTAAGTGTTTGCTCTGTTGGCCATTGGCATGAGAAATTTGGGTGTTGGAGTAGCTGGACAGTTGAAATTGAGGATGACAGAGCCCACAGGAGCTCTTGCTTGGCCTTGTGCTCCATGGCTTCTGCCAGGTTTGGTTTTCCTGCCTGACCCTGCCTGCACACCTGCCTGCAGCATGTCCAGAAGCCCCCTCCGCTGCTTTTCCAGGTTGTGCCTTTGCATGGCTCCAAACTGGGGGTGCAAGGACGAGAGCCCAAACAGCTGTGTGTGGGTTTAACAGAGGCCAAATGGGGAGGACTGGGGTGCACCAGGGTGATATTAATATGGTTCTTGGCCAGGGCTTGGGGTTTCCTGCGCAGCTCTTGTGGTCCTTCCTCAGAGCCCATTTTCTGCATCTGTTCTGCATGTGGTTTATGAGCTCTTGCAATATCCCAGCATCAGGCACCACTGGCTGCCCCTCAGGGCTCAGCAGGGGACCCCTCCCCAGGGCCAGCAGTGATCTCGTGCCCCTTGGGCAGCACCAGTGCTTGGCTCTCCCCTGTACTGGGTGCCAGGGCTGCAGCCGGAGGAGTCCAGCACCAACCCCATGCACAGCACCCAAACCTTGCTCAGCACCCACCCCATGCACAGCACCCACACTATGCACAGCACCCACCCTGTTCACAGCACCCACACCACACCCAGCATCCATGCACCGTTCTGCCACTTGGTGTCACCTGCCATAAAAAATTCAGAGCTGCGATGTTCCCAGCAGACCCCAGCCTGGAGAGCTCCAGCCATGCAAGCAGTGCCAAAAAAACCCAGGGCAGAGATGCCTAGGGGGGTCAGCAGAAGCATGGTGTGGTTCAGGGACTCGGTGGCATGGGCATCTGCCTGCCTCGGATCTTTAATTACATGGAAACAGGCAATAAATTAAAGCCTTCAAGGGTGGGATTAAAGCTAACACAGAGTCTTAAAGCACCTCCTCTTCTATCTTCATTTCTCCCCAACTACTCCATGGTGGGTGGTGGAAAGAGTCTGGGAAGGGCCCATCCCTACCGCGGTCATGACTCCATACAACGGTGCCAGCAGGACACTGTGCTCAGCCCAGCACCTTGGGTCCCAGCTTTCCAAGAGTGGAGGGTGACAAAGACTCACGGCCCCAGGTCCTTGCCTCTGTGCTCCCCTCCCTCCCCACCCCACTGCATCCCCCAAGCACCAGAACCACGTGGTGAAGTTTGGCCCTCTCCGTGTTCCTCTGCTCACGTTCCTGCTGCCTGCAGCCAGTGGCTGGTCTCTGAAGGAGTTTGTCTGCCCCTCCATCACTTCGTTGTGGGAACGGTCTTGGCACACTGGCTGGGCACCCTGATTTGCACCCCTTGGCCAGAGCAGGGCTGGTGTTGAGCCCTGCACCTTGGAGGACTCCTCTATCAGTCAGCACAGGCCCCCTAAACTGTCCTTGCAGAACAGATGCTGGGAGCAGCCTGTCCTGGCGCTGGGGCCAGGCTGTGCTGCTCCACATGGAGCCCAAAAGTGCAGGAGGAGGCATCAAGCAGGGAGCGAGGCACTGGTGGGTGCAGCCCCGGCTGGGGATGGGGACCTGGGCTCCTCCTGCAGAGCTCTGGGTCCCCCCTTCTGGAGAAGGAGGCAGTGACAGGGAGCCATGCTCTGCCAAGCACTAGCAGCGTGCATGAAGGGGCAGTGGTGGCTCTGCTGGGGTTCGGGCCCCCAAAGGGTCACCAGCCTGCGATTGCAGCAGGGTGCAGCCAATGCATGCAAAACAGGAGTGGGGCCAGGCACAAGCAGCACCAGCCCTGTGCTTGGCCAATGTCCCTGGCGGGCAGGACACTTGGGGACACCTCTCTTGCCACGTGCCATGGGGGTGTGCAGCAGGCTGGCAGCGAGGGGCTGACGGAGGAGCTGAGGTGGGTTCCCAGCCTCCTACGGTCTCTGAGCACAAAAGCTGGAAATGGCCTTGCTTTCATAGTGGGTTTTTTTTTCCCTAATGAATTTTGCGCTTCTCACCTGATCCCGGGTGTCTGCAAGCAGTGGGCAATGCAATCCCTGGGGAGGAAGAGCATTTTGGGACAGGGCTCCCTAAAACTTTGGGTCCCTGTATAACCTGCAGCCACTGGCAGGAGGAGCTGGTGCTGCAGCTCCACGTGGCTGCGGGTTTGTGCCCTGCTTCAGGGCTGGGCTGGGCTGGAGGATTCCTCTGAATTATTTCCAGATGGGGATTAATGCAGCAAACCGAGTTTGCTGCAGGATAGATAAACAAACCAAAGCTCCTCTGGATGCTATTAATAAACCGCCTGCCTGCTGCTTCTGTCCCAGATTTGGGAACACCCTGGCCCTCGCCGGGGGCACAGGCAGGCGCTGCCGCACAGCCCCTCCAGCCCTTCGGCTGCGGGGCAGAGGTGCTCGGGCTCCCCCAGGACCAGGACTGCTGGGGTCCCAAATGGGACAGGAGCTGCAGGGGTGTGACTGGGGGATGGTGACCCTGCTCCAGGCCCCTGTGCCAGGCGGGGGGTGGGATGCGGTGTTAGTGGCCATGTCCCCTGGTCACCCAGTGTCCCCTGGGCTCTGCCAGGGGCAGTGGGCACCAGGAGGTGACATCTCTCCCCTCCAGCCTTCTGCTGCGGGGCTTCAGGCAGCTTTGAAGCCGGAGCAGGTATAAGCAGAGTGGAGGCAGACTTTGAGCCCTCTCGAAACGGCCGTGCTGGGGTGAGGGTAAACAAGTTTTGGGCGGCTGCAGCCCGGCGAGCTCACCTTTCCCAAAGCTGCTCAGGTGGGGGGCTCCTGGGTGTCCCCCAGCATGCACACAGATGTGTGATCTTGCTGGGGGGGGAGGAGGGTGGCCCATGGGACTCACATCCCCACCCTCCTCATTTTGGCAGCGTTTGTGGTCTCCTGCCAGAGGCAAACAGAGCCCAGCTGAGGGCTGGGCTCAGTGGGATGGCCCATGGCGCCCAGCAGAGCCCCCCAGTGAGGACCTCTGGGTATGGTGGACCAGCACAGAAAATGGGGTTAGACCTGCTGATGATATGATTTAAGTTTTGTCCCATCACAGCCAGCTATGAGGGTCCTGGGTCCATGCACCCCTCTGTACATGGCTGGTGAGGCAGCGCCCCCATGGGGGATGCCCCATGGGGAGGATGGAGGCCAAGAAATGGGCCTGGTTTTGCTTTTTTCCAGCTCTCCAGCCTGCAGTGCACACAAGCAGTTAATCCCAGGCCACACAGAGCTGGCTGCTTACCTGGCTGGATCAGTGCCTGGCAGAGGGAGGGACAAGGGCACGGCTCCGCACCTTGCCAGGGCAGGCATCACTGCAAAAATATTTACTGAAAGAAATGCAGCTCCACCCCGCAGAAAACTGGGGCCAGGAGCGCAGCCTGCTCCAGGTTCGCAAACGGTGGGTGGTGAGCGGGGGAATGCGTACAGCTGCGGGGCACCGAGCACATCCACCCGCTCCCCTTGCACCTCCGCTCGGCACCATCGGCTTCACCCAAGGGTGCCAGGCAGGGACGGGGGCCTGGGCAAGGCGACAGGCACGAGGGATCCTGTCCGTGAGGAAATCCCAGCACCGGAGGTCGAGGAGCCCTCGCCACCCCGGAGACCCTGTGGCTCGGCTACAACTTCATCTCCGTGCTGGGGCCCCACTGCTTCCCTTTCCTGCCAGGGCTGCTGCTGCTCAGCCTGCCCCACAACCGCCTGGGGCTGATCCACAGCCAGGCGCTGGTGGGGCTGGGGGCTCTGCGGGAGCTGGACCTCAGCAACAACTACCTAACTGTGCTGACCCCTGAAACCTTCCTGCCCCTCACCAGCCTGGCCACGCTCAACCTGGGCAGCAACAGGCTGGGGGAGCTGGAGCCCGGGGTGCTGCATGCCCTGCCCCAGCTCCGAGCTCTCTTCCTGCAGGACAACCCCTGGGTGTGCAGCTGCAGCATCCTGCCCCTCTGGCGCTGGCTAAGCTACAACAGGGAAAAAGTGCAAGGTGAGTGCCCGGAGGACCAAGTCCCCAAGCCCCCCACCTGCTCTGTGCTGGCTGATCACCCCGTTGGGGCTGAAGCAGGACCCAGCACCTTGGCCACCAGCCAGCCCTGGGCCCGTGTGGTCGTTACCCGTAGGGATGCGGCGAGGTTCCCCAAGACCCATCCCCAGGCCCTGGCAGCTCCTGTGTTTGCTCGGCTGGATGCATCCCTGGGTCTGGTACCTGGTGCCCACCCCTGGTCACCAGCAGGGATTGCCTGGAGAGGAGGGCTGGGCAGTGGCCCTGCAATGGGCACCCAGCGCCGTCCCCAGCAGTGGCACCAGTCCTGCCGCAGTGAGGGCAAGGTGAACTGGGCAGTGGGCATCTGAGGGGGCAAGGTGAGCCTGTGTGTCAGCATGGGCATCACTGCTGACTTGGCCAGGACTCAGTGCCCTCAGCCCCTTCCCCAGTGCCTTCATGATCATGGGTCTGATCCTACATTTCTTTCCCTGTGAACCTCGGTGAAAGACACCTCCCCCAGTGAGGTCTCTCCCTCTGCTGTCACTCACTCCTGCTTGCTCCTAGCTTGGGTGCATGCCTGTAATTCGTGCTGGCTGGGACCTTCTCTGGCATCTCCAGGCTGGCTGCACGCTGCTCCCCATGCCTGTCCCCTGGGAACCAGGCCCACCACCTTGTTCACCCCATCTACCATCCTGCTCCATCCTACTCTGCCCCAATCCCATTTTCCAGTGCCCTCTCCAGAACTGCGCCCACGTCCCCATCCCATCCCACTCCCCAGGGTGCAGGACGTAGATGAGCCCTGAAGCCTCACTGCTCCTATTTGTACCATGATAGCTCCTCTGGGCTATCTTGGTCCACCTGGCCCCTGTCCTCCTGCCCTGGTCCCATCTGTCCCATGCAGACCTGCCATCCCCTCTGTCCTTGACACCTGCCTTCCCAGCGGCCCAGTGTGCCCATCATCACTGTTTTCTCTTTCAGAGAAGAGCTTGCTCCTGTGCAGAGTCCCAGAGCAGCTGAGCAAGTATCCGATCATGGCCTTCAGTAATGAGTCCTTCAGGCAATGCCAGGAGACCTCACTGCCTGTCCAGCACTACATCATCTTCTTGATCATTGGACCGTTCTCCTTCATGGCCAGCATCTTCTTCTGCACATTCATGGGCTCCGTCATAGTCGTTTATCATAACCTGCGCAAAGAATCCCACTTCTGGAGGAGACCCCGCATGGGCAGGAGCCGCTGGGGCAGAGCGACCAAGCTTTAGCCCCAGGCAGGCTGTGGTCCATGCCCTTCTCCAGGTGTCTGCACAACACTGTTGCAAACATTCCCCTATGGACCAGTGAGAGGATGCTCTGTTCCTGGGAACCACTTTTCCTCCTCTTCCCGGAGGCCCCCGAGGCGATGCCAAGCTCCCTCTGCCTCGCTGCTGGGGGGAGCAGCCTCCAGCCCAGCAGGGCATGGCCTGACAGCAGCTGCTCTCCATGTTTTGGGAGGCTCCCCTGGGCGACCGGCAGACCTGCGCATCCCCTTCCCAGGGGGGCTGGATGATTATTCTCCTTCAGCTCACCCTGTCCTGCCCCTTCTGCTGTCCAGGGGCATTTTGGGATGTACCGTACGCCGCCGTGTGCCTTCTGCTGTATCCTGGGAGCCCCTGTGTACATCTCAGGACCCACCGTATTCCTCTGGGTGCCTTTCCATGCACCCTGGGAGTCTCCATTTGGCCTTTGGGGCAGTCCAGGAGCCTCTGTGTACCTTTTTGTGCCCTCAAGACCCATTGGCTTGGCTCATCATGCATCCAAATGCCATCTGTTTGGCTTTTTGTGTCCTCTCTTGGTGTTACCCTAGAGATCTCCATGTGCCTTTTGATGCACTTGAAGATCTCTGGGTGCTTTTGGGGCACTCCAGAGCCTCCGTGGGACTTTGAGAAAGCCTCAGACCCCTCCATGTGCTTCTCAGGGACAGAGCAGGTTGCAAAATATTTCTTTTGATAGATTTTTTTCCTTGAGACAGGGCTGCTGGTGCTGAGAAGGTTCAGCCAACAACCAAGATCTAGGGTGAGGCTGAGGTTTAGGAAAAGAGACAGAGCCCCGAGCTCCCACTAATGTGGTTTGGCAAAGGCCCTGCTAAAGGATGGGTGAGGCGGCACAGTGGTTCCTCTTCCAGTAGCTTTTCCCCTTAGCTAAAGCTCATCCAAGGCCAAGGTCTAGGGCTAGTTCAGCAATGGGAGGGGGCACAAAAAAAGCCCATGTGGCTTTACAGCACAAAGCCTGCAGGTCTTGCTGTTGCCTCACCTCTTGTCACCCACAAAAAGGGGCTGGGGCTGCCCCTGTGTCTCCCTGCCCTTCCCTGTGGAAACACTTCTCCCCCACGTTGCATGGGAATGCTCAGTGAGTGTACTGGGACATGGCCTGGAAGGGGCTGGAGCTGTGCTCCAGAGGAAAACACAAGCTGGGGTGACAAAAGCCTCTCTCAGGGAGGACCACAGCCCTTTCTGGCATGAGTTCTTACCCACTGCAAGGTGATAAGAGCCACAATGGGATGACTGTGGCCACCAGCCTCCCTCTGTTCACTCAATCTCTTGCTCATGCAAGAGCTGAGGAACAAGCCAGGGATGTGGTGGGCGTCAACGCATCCTTTGGCAAGCTCTTGGCAAGGGCTAAATAAATCATGCGGAGAATAAACCAAATGTCACCTCAGTTGTGGCTTGCTCCCATTTTTGTTTTCAAGAGAGAAACCAACCCAGCATGCTGTCACACTGCTTGATTCCCACTCCGGTCTTCCTGTGGCACCTCTGCCCAGCGAGGAGCATGAGGGCTGTGGGGAGCTGGTGGAAGCAGCAGCTCCTCCATTGCTACCAGCCCCGCAGCCAGGACGGCTGCAGGACCTCTGCGAGCATCAGCCCCTTGCACAGCGCTTTTCCCAGGAGCAACCCTTGCTCTCCTAGACCCCCTCTAGTGACAGCACTCAGTCCTTCCCAAGAAAGCCTGGGCTTCCCATTTGGAGCTAGGACCTCGCTTGTCATCCTGCGTGGCCACCCTCCACCTCTCAGATCATCCTCAGGCTGAGACCCCCCTGGAGGTTGGGCTAGTGGTCTCAGCACATGGGGAGTGTGCTGTGAACCAGTGATGTTGCTTCAGTTCAGCCTAGGGGAGCTGCCTCTCTCTTTTGCAAGTCCCTGGGGGAACCTCCCTATAGATGGGCTGATGTGTGGGGACTTCCCCAGATGCCTTCTTCCTTGCAGTCGTCCTCTATTCCCAAAGCCAGCCTCGCTGGCAGTGCCCCTTGCTGGCTCCCAGGGTCTGGGAAGCGCAGCAGTGGCAGGGGACAGTTTTCCCCTGGATGGAGATGGGTGTGAGGCTGCTGGCATGGTGCTGGATTTTTGACAGTTTTGGGCTGTCCTCGGCCCCCTGCTGTCAGGCCTGTCCCCCCACACTGGCTGGGGCGGGGCCCCTGGCCTTTCTCCTTGCTGGCTTTTCCATCCTGCCCCATCCCTCCACCTTTTACTGTTTGCAAACCCTGTGGCAGTGCTGGGTGAGGCTCTGATTCAGCACGGGGCTCCCAGCCAGCTTTGCCAGAAGGCAGAGACGGAAAGAGGCACACGGCACTGGAATAAACCACTTCATGATCCAGTCTAGACTTTACTGAGCTCTTGCAAAAACTTGGTATTAATGTTACATTGACGTATAAAGTAGAATGGGTCCAATTTCTCAGCTGGAGTGAGATGAACGTGATGGAGCCACTGCAGTCAGTGGGATGATGCTCACAGATCTCAGCTGCTGTCTGAAAATCCTGTCTGCAAAGGCTGCCAACCCTCAGGGGGAAGCCCCATCTGCTTGGCTGGGGCAAGGAGAAGGCAGTTCATGCCGCTGGGGTTTGGTGCCATGTTGCCTGTGGGTTTTCCGCCCTCGCAGAGGTAGGATGCGATGTTGCCCATGCACGTGCTGTAGCTGCTCATCACCAGCCTGGCTGGTGCCAGATGCTTCCCCAGCACTGGTGTCTCCGCACCCACTCACAGTGCCCGTGGGGAGGGTGCTCAGGGGTGCTGGCATGTGGACACCTATGCTTGAGGGGAGGAAGGTGTGGGGAGGAACGGCGTCAGCCTGTCTTGTTTGGTTCACTTCTTCCGGAACTCGGATCTGGTTTCCACGTCTCCAGGTTCAGGCAGATGCGGCCACGTGAGCTGGGGCTTCAGAGCTGCCACGGGAACTGCTGGCAAGCTTGAGCTGCAGGGCAGTGTGGCAGGGAAGCTGCCAGCGCCTGCTGTGCTGCCACGATGCTGCAGGCAGGCCGGGTGACCACTGTACGCTGCAAGCCATGGCCGGCCAGCAGCAGCTCTCCTTGCATTGCTGGTGCTGAGGCAGTGTGGAGCTTGGCTAAGGATCGATGCAACCATCCGGAGCCATTTGCTGCGGGGATGTTCCTGGTGGGAGACCTACATGCTGGTTGTGGCCAGGTCCTGGGGATGTCTTCTGTGCAGGAGAGCTGGGGAGCCAGGATCCTGGCTGACAGCATATGCTGAGCTCCAGAGTACCACGTTTAGCACAGGAGCGTGGGCTGCAGGGCTGGGAGCACTCCTGCTGCAAACAGACCACATACAGGAGCCAAGTCATAGCCACGGGCTGATGGGAGGGAGGAGCAGAGGGTTCACCCCCTGCGAGGAGCAGAGCTCACACCTTCCAGCCCCTGCTGCAGAGGCGGGGGCCACTCAACACAGCAGGGACATGTGCCCAAGATGCTGAGCCCCACTGGCTGCTCCGGCTGCTCGGGACCACGAGCACATCTCACTGGAGCCCTCCGAGGTGGTGGGAGACGTGAAGCACACGTCCGACAAGCCGTGCACCTTCTGAGAAGCCTGAAGCCTGCAAAGTGAAGCACATGTTTGTAGTCTGGCACCAGCTCATCCCCGCCACCATGGGAGAGCAGGCACCGTGTGCCTTCCGAAGTCCTTTGCCCTCGCACATAGCCAGTCAGTGGCAATACTGATTATCAACAGCACTGGTTGGAAACGATTATCTCTGTACAGTGAAATCCAAACCATGTCCTGGTTCTGCCGTGCATTCTGGGGCACGAGCATGGCAGCAGGCCTAGGAAGGGAGGGAGATATACAATGAAGTCACTGTGTATGGATGAAGGATGCTTTCCTCCCATCTCACCC